TCTGACCATCTAAATCCCATTTCGGCCGTGCGACCAATTCAGAAATGCTATGTCCCATGAACAAATCATTCCCATATAGAAGCAGATCAGTACTAGCAATTTTGCAACAGCTTCCAAGCAAGTTCAGGTAATCACGATAAGACAAGTGTCCGAAACTCCCAGCCAATTGAGTGAACAATGCCTCGACAGATATAAAGTTGCAAGATGGACTGAATAGCATCGAAATTGTTCCAAACCGATAACCATGCTGAAGAGACCTGAGGGTCCAAGTGTCGTTGGCCTTATGCTTCATGGTACAAAAATATGTTCCCAGCACACATATCTTCAAGAACTGTATAGTGCCCTGCACTATTGGATTTTCTTCAACAAGAGTACGCAGGACAAATAGGACATAATACTTGGTTCCCTTTCCAGGATCCCATGGTGAGTTGAACCATTCCTCACATGCAGAGCCATGCGAAAGCATTTGCAATACTGAATATTCAGTAAGCACCGGCATACATATTCCAGGCATATTTGTAGCATGTCGTGCATACCGTGCATCAGATTTCCTCGGCATAGTGGCATACCCAGTAGATGGTGTCCAGGTGAGCATAGGTTTCCTAGATGGTGCCTCATTTATCAAACCCGCACCAGGAAAGCAATTCATCACCACAATAGCAGTGGAAGATCCCATTAATGTACCTTGAGGTGCTGGCCATGGGAAAGCTCGACAATCGCCTCCTCGGTCACACATGAAGAACGGGCATGGCAATGGCCGTGGCACACAGCTACCACCTATGCACATAACCAGAGAAGGGAACGGCCAAGTTGTGGGCCCATGCGCTTGCACCTGATGAGTGATACTCGGAGCAGTGCGGGACATGAAGGTGCACGTCAGCTTGTCACAGTTGTTCTGGAGACATAACACCGAGCAGCTTGCAGGCACTATGCTGATGCAACCGGTGGAAGAAGGGAGGACGTCCTCGACCCCATGAGCCCTCCCGACGTCATTGGCAGTCGATGATGCGGTGTCACGGGCTGCCGCCTCACATATTGTGATGGATGTGATTGTTGCGGAGGCCGGAGCAGAAGTTAAAGCCGATGGAGTTGGCAGAGAGACGACTTGTTCCAGCTCCACATGATCCGCCAGCTCCACACAATCCCAATCGACCACGACAGGTTCAGAGTTGGGCAGCCTGTGGACGCTGATCGATGATGGGGCGTGCTGGATGTCCAAAAGGCAGGAACCATCATAGATGCACCGTCCGTGCAGTGCACCCTTAGCTTGGCTCGCCTCCAGCCATGATTGGAACTCCACAAACACCTCCATGTGTGTCGATTTATGTGACACACACAGATCATGCACCCCATAGGCACCGAATAGCTCATCTAGTACCTCCTCTATTACATGGTAAAACAAGTGGGTGATGGTGATATGCAAAACACAGCTACTAGTCACCTCTGGTTGTATTGACATTTTGTCGAACAGGTGGTGAGCGGTGGAAAGGAACACCAAAATTTGAGGCAAATTTTCTGGAATTTTTTGACAAACTGGTGGGGGATCGAACAGCTCTGAATACCAACTGTCACGCCCCTAGATCAGGAGCTGACAAATCGATACCGAACATCACCAAATCCATGGATACAAGTGTTTCTGGTGTATGAATTAAATCACCAAACCAAAGTTCACAAAGGGACTACAATCCAGAGAAGAGAATCAAGGATGAGAAGAGCATAGAATCAAGGTAGGCAGCAAGAGAGGATCAGGGAGAGGGGTACACTCGTCTGGTACGAGGGAAGGGAGGAGCTGGAGGAGGAAGAAGGGCCAAGCCAAATCTATTCTGTTCGATGCCTCACTTCTGGTGTCGCTGATTCTTTTATCCTCTCCAGCGCCAACACAAGCCCAAAACCACCTGGGCCACGGCTCATGACAGCCAAGCCTTGTGCGGTTCTATGCACGTGTATGACAGTATACTATTATTAAGGGAGAACTGCTAATGTCTGGAAAGTACAGTTGGGTGAGTGCAGAAGACACAACGAACATGAGATCAGCTACGGTTATCTGTTGTGACTCTTGCATGCTTTTGGTTACCGACGATTACATGAGTTTGGACGCTGTAAAGTCAGCGACGAGTGATCACGGCAAATAGAAATTCAGGCTGCAGGTGCAAGAAGTATGCATGTTCCTGTATTGACAAACATACTAAAGCCTCGGGATTGATTGGGAAATAAATATTCAAGGTTTTCTCGCGTATGCAAAGTAATAATGTCAAAAAAACAATATCCTTGGAATCACTGAGAAAATATCTTTATTAAGCAAGGTAGATGAATATTTCAGTCTATAAAAAAGACTTGCCAATTCCACATTAACAATGGGAAAAAGAGAAACTGAAGAAAATTGGAAGTCCTTACAAACCATAAGGAAAGGGAAAATGTTCAAAAACAGCCGGATGATTTTGTGGCTTGGTCAGCCGCGTCCGGCACCGTGCGATCGCACGCCATCGTGTGGTGCGGCGCCTGTGTTCTCCACGTGACGTCCATAGTGACGCCTGAAGCTATGATTGTTAATTAACAGATTCTTTTTACTTGCACTTCTCACCTTGTGCTTAGCACGTCCCTACATATGTACGTGGGAAGTGGATCCTCTAACATCCAGAAGGGATGTTACGTAAGCTACAGTAACCGTGACATCCCAAAAGAAAGCACACAGCAAGAACTAAACCAGGATTTTAGAACATCATATTATTTACATTGATTGTGGGTCTTTGTTGGATTTTGGTACTCGCAAGCACATGGAGTCATGATTTGCTTAGATATAGCAATGCTTAGAGTAGCGTCCTTGACACCTCTGCAAGCGTCGTGGCTGTCGAAACATATATACTACCGCAACATCATCGAATTAGCCGAGTTGTTGTCGTAGCATCATTGAAACAATCGTGCCATTGTCGCAGCACTGCAACGGCCGGGAAGCATGCCGTCGAAGCAATCAGGGCTTCGTCGCAGCATCGCCATGGTCATTGAAAGAACGTCGCCGTCACGGTTCGTCGCTACATAGTCGTGGGTGTTGGAAGCATGTTGTCGTAACATCATGGAAGCAGCTGGCTCGCCATCGTAGCATCGTTGTGACTGTCGAAGCACCCATCGCGGCCGTCAAAGCACGCCGATGCAACATCACCGAAATATCCCGGGTTGCCGTCGTAGCATCACCGCGGTTGTTGAAGCACCCACCATTGTGTGGCCGAAGCATGCCGTCACAACATCATTGAAGCAGACAATTTGTCGTCATAGTATCGCTGCAAGTGTCAAAGCATGTTGTCGCAACATCGTCGAAGCAGACAGGCTACCGTCGCAGAATCGCCGCGACCGCCGAAGCACGTCATCGCGCCATCACCACGACTATCGAAGCATGTGCTAGGTTTTCGTCGAAGCCCTCCTCGTAGCATCACCCCAGGCTGCCATTGCAGAGATGGTCGTCCAGCGTCGCAGCACTGCTTGCGCCCTTACTCTAGGCCCGCAACAGTCGAACAACCCTTTGCGACATTGTCGTCTCGTCTTCCAGCGCGTCTACCCTCGTATGCAGCATATGCAGCAGCCACTCTGCCGATTGTTTCGAGGGCTCTTGGGTCAATGACATCACAGGTGAGCTATCCTTCACGGCTCACCTGCAACTCATACACTTGCAACATGCCTTGGCGACGATCCAAAGGAATGTATCGGAGGATGATGTCTTCTACTGGCCCTGGAGTGTCACGGGTTCATATAGCGCAAAATCCGCCTACAGTATGCTATGCCAGGGCATGACTCGGTTCGCCGCCGCTCAATGCATTTGGAGCAGTTGGGCGCCTCTCAAGTGCAAAAATTTTGCGTGGCTTGCCTCTCGATACCGGCTATGGAATTCGGACCGACGTGCGAGGCATGGTCTCCAAGATACGACTTCGGCATGCTACACTTGCTGCCAAGAGGAGGATACAACAGACCATATCCTCGCTAGATGCGTTTACGCGAGGCAAGTTTGGAGTGGTTGCTTCCAGTTGCTTCAAATCAACATCCAAATCCCAAGCCCCGAGGATACATTCATGGTGTGGTGGGACAAGCGCGGAAGTCCTTCCATGGAAAGCTCAAGAGAGGGTTTGATTCGCTCGTCATCTTGACCGTGTGGCACCTATGGAAGCAGAGGAACGCTCGGGTGTTCAACTGCAATGACCAAGTGCGCTTGGACACTAACCTTGTTCAGCTCATCCACGAGGAGATCAAGCTTTGGAAGAAAGCGGGTCTAGGAGTTGAGGGTTTAGATCCTTTCGTGAGAGAGTAGGCTTTTTTTTTTTTGGAGTCGGAGTTTCCGTGTAGGCTTTCTAGTCTCATCGCAAAGTCTTGTACAACATTTTCTCCCCTTCTATATAAATCCACCTACAACATTTTCTTGTAGGCTTTCAAGCCTTTGGCGTATTCTAAAAAAAACTCTGCCGATTGTATTTGAATTAGCTCGTGGTGGTGCACGAGCATGGATGACTTGCTATTTTTCTATTAAAAAATGGGTGACTTGCTACGTAACAAATACTAGATGACTTTGCTGCTTAGCTGAACAAGAAGCACTTCGCCTGTCATGCATGTGTGCGTGGCTGTTTGTGAAAGCAGTACTCGCGACCCGCACTCTCGAAAAGAAATGAATCGAACAGGCTTGAGACGTGGATCGAACGGCTTATAATACGGGCTGCCAGGACGATCGAGTGGCTGCCGACCCGGCTGATCCCACGCGCAGATCAGCCGGATGATTTCTAGCATGCGCCTAAGGAAAGGCCCTTCGAAAGATACAAACCATAAGGAAAACTGCAGCAAGCACAAGAAATTCAGTTCGACACTAGTCATGCATGCCAGCAGATAAAAGACACAGGAATCACCAACCAATTCGCATTCTCATTGCAAAATTGGATCTACATAGTACATGCAATCAACATAGAGAAATAGGTAAGACGATAGATACTAAATTAGATTAGATGCAACGATGATTAGCCACAATACTAAATTGTCATGATAATATCTTTGGCCGCTTTCAGTTCGGCAGGCAGGAAGCTAGCAGCCAGCTCCTTGAGAACTGATGGGCAGCTATTCTTGAGATGCTCGTAACCATCACTTGCCATCATCGCCTCCAAATTGGAAGGAGAAGCGAGGAACTCAAAGCAGGCATCCTTGATGCTACGGAAGCCGTGCTGCTCTGCTAGAGCCAAACTAGTCGCCACAATGTCAGGGTTGATGAGGTTGCACATCCTCTCTTCGCATATCACCTTCAGCCCCTCGATATTGTACCTGTCTGCTGCAACAAGTAGATGGCCGGCCATCACCGCTTCTCTCCGTGCTTCACATCCATCGGTCATCTCAGCAACAGGCTCATACTCGTCTGTGTATATGAAGTGGAGCAAGGCCTTGAACACGTCACTTTCCATGTCACTAATTTCTATCGGACCGCCGGCTTTCTCCTTCATGCCGCCAAAGAGCTCCGCTCTGAATACGGATGACCGAGCGGCGAGCACGACCCTATGAGCCGAGAAACTCTCCCCGCCGACATGAAAGGTCACGTCGGCTCCATCCATGCTCTTCAGTAGGTCTCCAAGATGTTGATGCAAGTTTCTTGAAGGAACCAAGATAAGCCGATCACCTCTGTGGATATTCTTCACGACAGTAACATGGCACATGATGCTGACACTGTCGTTGCTTAGTCTACTTGGATTCTCAAGATAAGCTCTGCCGACAAAATCACTGAAACCCTTGCATGAGCCTTTGCTAAAGAAGATGCGTTCGCGAGTGGTCTTGCTTCTTGTATGATCTGGTTCCCCATCCTTGTCAAGCAAAGTAATTCTAAATTTCGCCCTCACGTCCGTGGCAAAACCAGAATCAAGAGCCAGAAAAACAGATACGTAACCGGCTTCATTCTGTGTGATGTCGTCGCAGCCGTTTGGGTAGAACCACAAAACCCAGTCGTAGCCTCCAACACTGAAAGGGGCAGATTTCACGTAGTTGCCAGGCCCGATCATCAACTTGATTCTTGAGTAGTCGTCTACCTTGATCACATATGACCTTTTATCAGACCCCGCTGCAAGGTCAGCGGGAAGATCGCGAAGCTCTGACATTCTTGTCGTCTCTTGGATTGCACTCCGATGGAAGAATGGCGACAATGAGAGATTCCCTGCGTCTATATAGTACCGTGGGAAGTTCGATCGGTCTGTCTCGAAGCAAATAAAAGGCAGATATATACACATGCCAAATAAGAACTCTAGATCTTTGGGTCGGCATTGTTTTCTACCATTCAAACCGAACAGATTACATGCCAAATAAGAATCCTAACCAAGGAAGATTGGGATAGCTATCTTCGGATGCGTATCAACGCTGATCTCCGGGACGGGTTCGAGTCCGGCCCATGCACGACGGCTTTCATGGGCGTGGAAAAACTCAACTAGCGCGTCTGTATTTTTACGGGGTACGTTAACGCCAGAACCCATATTGCCACTTGTTGAGTATAAGGATTATTAAAAAGTATAGAATAGACTAGGATTTGGTCATGCCTTGTCTTGTACTTCAAGTTGATTTTTATACTCCTATATATATGCCCACGAGGCTCAAGCAATACAACAAACTATTCCACCAAATTCCTCTCTCCTTTCTAACATGGTATCTATCGCAAGTCGATCCTAAACCCTAGCCGCCACCGCTTCCGCACCTGCGCGCCGCCCCTGGGGCGGTCAGCCTCCATGACCGCCGCCGGGGGCCGCGCCGCCCGTACCTAGGGTTCGTCCGCCGGTCGTGTTGACCGGCTACCCTATAGTGTCTTTTTCCCGAGCCCTTGCTCCGGATTTTTTCGCTCTCTCGCCGGTCGTTTTGATCGGCGTTTTTCTTTTTGGTTTTCCAATCTATACTTGATCGGTTTGTGTCGCCCGCCGCCGCCGTCGACCCCGAGCGCCTCTACTCCGACCCCGGCGCGACCAGTCGGCCTCTCCTCTGACCCGGCGGCCACGCGCGCCGAGGCGGCCCGTCAGGGCCAGCCGCCGTCCGCGCGTCGGTCCGCCCGTCGCCTGCGCCGTCCGTCACCGCCCTGCTCCGACCGGGACACCTGCATCACCCCGACCCGGCGGCCTCGCGCCATGCCACGACCAATCATAGCGGTCGCTTGCGCGCCGGCTCGCCCATCGATCCACATCATCCACGTCCGCCGCGTCTGCACGGCGGCCCGGCGGTCTACCTCGCCGGCCTCGTTCTCGGCTGCGTCGGGACGGCTGTGTCAGGCTCGTCGGCTGCCTCAACTCGGACGTTGGTGCTCCGTTGGTCGCTTGGGCCTCGCTGCCCGGGTGTCGGCGTTGCTTTGGCAGCCGGGGTGCCGGTGCTCACAAGCTCGTTCACACGACGTCCCACGCCGTCCATCATCGCCGGCCTCATCCCGGACTCCGCCGCCACCACTCCTCCACCGAGCGGCGTCCCCAACCTCGCGCGCGATCGGCTTGATCACCCGCTCGCCGCCGCGATCCGCCTCCTCTACGCCGCACAACCGACCTGGCTCGTTGGTGACGCGCGCCTCCGCAGGTCCCGTGAAGATCGTCCTGAGTACTGCGCGCCTCTCCACCGATCGAGCATCGGGCTGCCGCTGCGTCGCCCCATCGGGCCGCAGCGCCGCCGCCCCGTGGTTCTCCTCGCGGTTGCATCGACTCATGCGTCACTGCTGCGTCGCCCCTTCGGGCCATAGTGTCGCGATACGCGGTCCCTGCCGCCGCCCCGAGGGCGTCCACAGCGACTTCCTCGACACCAGCTACCCCGACTCGACATCGACCACGACATTCTTCACACGGCTACCTCGACCACGGCTCCACCACCCACGCTCTCGGCTACATCGAAAAACGGCACAAAGGGCTATCGCCTTGCTTGAGCAACCTCGTCGGGTTCCACTTCAGTCACGACTTCCGTGATGCGTCGACCGTTATGACTGTGGGGGGTGTCCGTCAGCTTGCCTTCGGATTCTTCTCCAGTCTCATCGTCTGCGTCGCTATCGTTGTGACTCCGGGGGAATGCTGAGTATAAGGATTATTAGGAAGTATAGGATAGATTAGGATTTGGTCCTGCCTTGTCTTGTACTCTAAGTTGGTCTTTGTACTTCTATATATATGCCCACGAGGCTCAAGCAATACAACAAACTATTTCACCAAATTCCTCTCTCCCTTCTAACACCACTGATAAGTGAAAATTGCTCGCGAGTAGCTACGGGTCAAAATTTACTGGGCAAATGCCCTTGCGGGACTCGCCCTGCTCTGACTTACTTTAGCCCGACACCCCTCTCGATCCCGCTCTCGTCCATGGTGACTTCGCTCTAACCCGGCATTGCCGCCACGCTGCTGTCGCCCGGCTTCTCTCGCCTCCAGCTCGACATTGTGCCGCCCGACTTTTAAGGACTGCCATCTGTTGCCCAGCCTCCACTTGGATGTGTCTAATTACCGAAACTATTTTTATAAGGAAAGGTGCATGTTTGCCTCTAATTTCATTTATATGGAACTGACAAACTAACTTAGGATCAGTTTGAGTGAAGGGGAACTGGGAAGACCTTGTTAGAATATTCAGTTTAGCTCTTATTATAATGAGTAAAGTGCATCCGCGGTCACTGTACTTATGTCGAGAGCTCACTTTGGTCACTATACATAAAAATACGGTCAATACGGTCACTGAATATGACTTGAGATGATTATACTCATCGTATAGTTTCGTATTTTGCCTACTTTGACCAGTCAAACTGCCTACCCTCTAAACTTTTATGTGGGTCCCACCTTTCAAATACACATGCACACAATCGCAGACAACACGGGTGCACAGTTGCATACACTCACACACAACACGCACGCAGGCACACAGCTAGCAGCCTAGCACATACTGTGGCATGCATACATGACACATCGGAGGCCACCGGGTCGTGCTCCGGCAGCCGTGCTACCATGGTGTGCGTGCATGATGAGAGCGACCATGTGGATATCTCCACTATCGTTCATGTGGCCATCTCATGCAAACAGAGAGTTGGCATGGGCTGCGTCGCCTCGTCTCGCAGCTCCTGTATATCCGCCGGCATCGATCTGTATTGCGACGCGGCGAGCGCTCGTGAGACCTAGTACCGGATGACCGGCAGCACGACGTGCACCCCGGCACCGTCCAATCCCACTAGCCATGCCAGGCGGCTGCTGCTTGCTGTGCGCGCGTACTGAGCTTGCTTTGTGCTTGCTTGCGTATGTACGTGTAAGTTGAGAATGGTGAGAGGCTGTATAGGTGCGCCAAGCTGCCGCTGGCTGCGTGTGAACCGGACGCTGAAGGCCCGGAGATACATGGCCGAGGTGAGCACGTGGAAGACATGGCGTGAGGGCTCGGACCTGAGAGACAGCAGACGACGCGTTGGCGAGGCAGGACTCTACGGGTTGCATGGCGAGGTACCGGAGATATTTGGGCGTGTAGATGGCTGCAATGCGTGTGTGTTGCGTGCACCCGTGCTGCTGCATGCTGTGTGTCGGAGTGTTTGACAAAAAACTACCACAATTGAAGTTCGCGTTCCACAGAACTACCACTTTTAAAAAAGTGACTGATAATTACGAAAAAATTGAAATCTCGTGACTAAAAACTACCACTTTTGAAAAATGGCCAGTTTAGAAGATTTAAATGTGTTTATGACATGCACGGCCCGTCTGTCAGGGCTGATGTGGCAGGAAAGTCAACTCCATTATTCCATAACGTTAACTTGACCGTTATGACAGGGGGGCCCACACGTCATTCTTCTTCCTCCTATCTCTCTGGCATTTTTGACAAACACTTTCAGTGCATGGAGGGAAGCAGGTGAGCTTCACCGTCGCACCAGTCGGCGGCCGAGGACATCAGCGAGGTGTGGTTGTTGGCCATGGCGGATAGCTATGGCCGGCTCGGTCGAATTCGCGTCGTCGCGGCTCGCCCTTCCCGTCTTCACACGGCCGCTGCTCGCACTCGCCGTAGCGGCCCAGCTCCTATTCGCCGATGCCCCACGCGGCAAGGAATCAGCCGCAGCAGGGAGATGCAGTCGTCGGTAGTGGGTACTGCTCGCTGCCCAGCCGGTCCACGACGTACGAGAGCTTTGCGTCGTCGTAGAATGTGTGCGAGCTCACGACGACTCTGGCGTATAGGTCCTCCTCGTCGTCGACGGCGTCCTCCTGCTGCGGGAAGGAGGTGGGGAAGGGGAGGCAGCGACCCGTGACCAGGTTGGGCACGTGCGTGGGCTCGAGCAGCGAGGAGAAGCAGAGGAGCACGAGCAACGCCGACACGGCGCCCGCCGCGAAGACGAGCGCGTTGTGGACGCGGCCGGCGAGCGTGCGGCCTGTGCGCCGGGGCGGGCGGGCGGCGCGGCGGTGGCAGGGTGGAACAAGCACGCAGGGTGGCGCGACGGCTCTACTGCTGGTAAGGTGTTTGTTGAAATGCCGAAGAGAGAGGGAAGGAAGAAGGTGATGCTGACATGCGGGGTCCACCTGTCATAACGGTCAATTTAACGATAAAAAATAAACGGAGTTGACTTTCCCGCCACATCAGCCCTGACAGACGGGCCCCGCGTGTCATAAACACATTTAAATCTTCTAAACTGGCCATTTTTTGAAAGTGGTAGTTTTTAGTCACGAGATTCCAATTTTTTGGTAGTTATCAGTCACTTTTTAAA